AATCTTTGCGACTCAGCTTAGTGATGTCATCTATGTCATCAATCTTTGTAGTTCAGTGCAAGTGATGTCATCAATCTTTGTAGTTCAGTGCAAGTGATGTCATCAATCTTTGTAGTTCAGTGCAAGTGATGTCATCAATCTTTGTAGTTCAGTGCAAGTGATGTCATCAAACTTTGTAGTTCAGTGCAAGTGATGCCATCAATCTTTGTAGTTCAGTGCAAGTGATGCCATCAATCTTTATAGTTCAGTGCAAGTGATGCCATCAATCTTTGTAGTTCAGTGCAAGTGATGTCATCAATCTTTGTAGTTCAGTGCAAGTGATGTCATCAATCTTTGTAGTTTAGTGCAAGTGATGTCATCTATGTTTGTTATTCAGTGCAAGATAACATTTCTATCATTCTTTGAGATATCACTGTCGTCAAGACAACACATCTTAAATTTCAGAAAAGTTTTTACATGAAAACTGACTTACCATGAAGGCTGATCTTTTCCAGTTTGTACCTTTCATTGTTTTATACATCCTACCTGCATAAAAACCAGCAAATGCCCTGCACAAGACAGAACATAGTAAAACTAATGAAACCTTGCCATGAAATAATGTGCTACACACATTTGAAGTGAGGATATTGTAATGGCATATTTTTCTCTGAAAGATCAATATTTTGACATTAAACTATGAAAAAATAACTCTAATTAAATCATTCTAATTTTGCAGCTGGCGTTCGATACGCAATTTCACGCATTACAAGGACAGTGGACAGAAAACCACTGATAGAATCGTGCTAATTTTAGTGAATCCGTGAAATTGACAAAGAATAAAAAAAATTATGTTGTGAATTATGCCAAAGTCAATAAATATTTCAGAACTGATAAATATGATGTGGAAATACAGAGGGATACTCTTGCGAGAGTTGAAATATGAGGTGGGAATACAGAGGGATACTCTTGCGAGAGTTGAAATATGAGGTGGGAATACAGAGGGATACTCTTGCGAGAGTTGAAATATGAGGTAGGAATACAGAGGGATACTCTTGCGAGAGTTGAAATATGAGGTAGGAATACAGAGGGATACTCTTGCGAGAGTTGAAATATGCGGTAGGAATACAGAGGGATACTCTTGCGAGAGTTGCAAAAATCAGGTGGGAATACAGAGGGATACTCAAGAATCTTGCGCGAGGTGCAAATCTACAGGAACACCAAATTTAAGCTTTTGTCAATTTTCCAGTTTGATTTTGGTTATTAAAACAAAACAAAACACACACTTCATTTGATGAGGTCAACCTTTTGACTTGCAGTGGGCGGACGGGAACATTGTGCATTTTTCAGAAATAAAAATACCTCGTCTTCATACTACCTACCCCATAAAGACAAAGAGGAAGAGTCCAGCTGTCAGCAAGGCACCTCTACTGCTAGGTGATAACATACCAAACATGGCCACAACTGAAAGTTAAATAATTTAAATTACATCTACCATCAAGTTTCAACATATCACTTTATGATTTTAAACAAAAGTTTGCAATATAAAATTGAACATTTTTTTTTTCTAAACAAAAAAGTGACTGTATTTACACGAAACGATGGAATACCGAATTGTGGGTTACTTATGTACATTATTTTGTGTTGTGATTCAACAAAATGGCTAACTTATTGTGATGAAGTTTAACCCTATTAAGCGTTAATTTTTCATGCCTTAATTTTGCATATCTTTAGGTACTTTTCAATAATAGTTTTGAAAATTTAGACCAATCAGACACAAAACTTCATTCACAGGTATTGATCAGAATTTTGGTATTTTTATATTTTTTTTTCCAAGCGCGTAGTAGGGAATTGTGTCTACTTGGTTCCAAATTGTCAAAAAATGTAAAATGTAAAAGATTATGGCATTCAAAAAGTTACAAAACTTACCAATAGTGATGAGAGCCATACAAAATATTTGTACTCCGGCGCCGAGGACTGATGATAGTAACATCTTTTTTTGAGGTGGTCTGAATACATCGCCATGTACCAACTTCCAACCAGTCTCTTCCATGGTGTCTTCCTATTAAAGTAAAAAAACACAATCACATCTTAAATTTTGAAAGAAAATCTCAAATCTTAAGAGTCTGTAAAAGGCATGAATTTTGCAGTAGTGAAAATTCAACTCGGGTCTGAAAAAGACTCGCAGCGACTTTGAGCGGGTACAGATGGGGTGTAGTGAAAGTATAGAGCATGATTCTAAATTGTCCAGTTGTCCTGGACAACCACTTTTGTCATGAGGCAATCAAATCTGAAAACTGGTAGCCAGAAACGTTCCTGATAATGATCTGCTGAATTCTTGAAAGCAACAATGCTTGAAACACAGCTGTACGAAACAAACTCAGTCACATTAAATATAACAAAGCTTTTGCACAACCAAATTTCCATGTGAATAACCAGTGGTTGTTCACAGGACATCAAGGTATTATTTTACATATCGATTCCTGGTGAGGGCATTATCTGACATTGTAGGTACTTACTGCATCTTCTTCTTTGTTGTATCTTGCAATATCTCTTCTCAATGTCCTCACAATGATCATAGTGAGGATACCTTAAATAGGAAAACAAACTGATCATGAAAACCAGGAATGGAATTTTTTTTCTGGACATTGAATGTCACTGTCTCACCTGATTTTATTTTGTAAGTGCTAATTGCAAGTGCTAGTGCTGACACATAGTGCATTTTGCCACAGAAGTCATATTCATGTTTGGGACTACATGACAGGGCTGTGTGGCCATCTCCCTATCAAATGGCAATTTTAATGCGCTATTCTGGCGTCAACCAGGCTCGGTCGAACACAAGCACCTGCGGATCTTAACCAAGGTTCCCCCAAAGTCGCATTTGTTAGTGAATGAATGGATACCTTTTACTGGCATTTCAGTGCACTTTATGACTATATATATTAAGAATCACATGGCAATTGCAAAGCATGCACACACAGGCTGGGCAGTATTGACCTCCTTAACAAAGTGGTCATCAAGACCACTCTGACTTTGTACATACCTTAGAATATATACTCGTAACTAACAACTATCACATTGCAAAACTAACACTTTCTAGAATTGCTGGCAGTCATCACTAAAAACAATTTTCTTCATTTTTTCTTATTTACATTGTAAACTACACTTCACTCTCATCTAGAATGAAATGATCCAGTCTAATAATGGAACGATCCAGTCTAATAATGGAAGGATCCAGTCTAATAATGGAACGATCCAGTCAAATAATGGAACGATCCAGTCAAATAATGGAACGATCCAGTCAAATAATGGAACGATCCAGTCTAATAATGGAACGATCCAGTCTAATAATGGAACGATCCAATTTGTTTTGCAAAGTTGCAAGTAACCTTGCTCACTGACTGACTGCGTAATTCACAGAATAAGTGTAAAGTAAGAATAAATCAACCTTTCTATTGGACTGACCTGCGAGAAAGAATACAACCACCACAGAGTTGATGATAGAAAACCAATGTATCTGTACATCACTCATAGCAAGGTAAGTGTCCCATCTACTGGCCCAGCGAATGTTACTAGGCAACCATTGTACTTCATACGTAAAAACTATGTGGTTTTCTGAAATATTAAATTAAAACAACTAAACATATTAGTTTCAGAGATGGATAGTAGTACACTTAACACACTAAGCTGACAACTATTTGTTAGATTGCATATAATTCAAATTAAAATTATTTTCACAAATGTTATTTGCATAGAAAATCATAATTTTTGTTATCTTTTTTCAACATTTTCATACACTTTTCGCAAAGCTGGTAATAATGTACTGTAAAACACTTTTCTGTTATATCTCAATAATCTATGACCATAATCCAGAAAACTTGGAAAAACTAAGCCTTGCCAAATTGAGATTTGTGAGGAGAGATGTTTTTTACATCTGTTAATTAAAAGTTTTGCTGTAAAACGGGTCTTTGGCACGTTTGACCATTATTTGCATTTCATGTCGACAAGTAATGAACACAAAACAGCATTATATAAGTTAGTGCATAATAAGGCTTTTCATTGATGATGAAAAAGTTTCAGCCATGGGAACTAATACTACCAAACCAGTTTTAACTTTGCAAACAAGTACCGTTATAAACAAGATTTAACCAATTGTAAATAGTATTCTTGTATTGGAATACTGTTGAATTCAATGCACAGAAATATATGTATTTATAAACTACCCAGTAGACTCATTATTCTAAACGATGGGGTACACGTTGGGGTACACGTTGGGGTACACGTTGGGGTACACGTTGGGGTACACGTTGGGGTACACGTTGGGGTACACGTTGGGGTACACGTTGGGGTACACGTTGGGGTACACGTTGGGGTACACGTTGGGGTACACGTTGGGGTACACGTTGGGGTACACGTTGGGGTACACGTTGGGGTACACGTTGGGGTACACGTTGGGGTACACGTTGGGGTACACGCTGGGGTACACGTTGGGGTACACGTTGGGGTACACGTTGGGGTACACGCTGGGGTACACGTTGGGGTACACGTTGGGGTACACGTTGGGGTACACGTTGGGGTACACGTTGGGGTACACGTTGGGGTACACGTTGGGGTACACGTTGGGGTACACGTTGGGGTACACGCTGAGGCACACACTAACCATTGGATGTGCTCATTACATTGTTTCAAAAAGCTAGAAACCCGCTGGTGTCGATATTTTATCCTGGTAAGAGTAACTTCTGGGTCTCATGTGGTGACCGCTCCTTGTTGCTACAAGAATACTGTGACAGGACAGAACAGACATCGTTACGTTCTCTTTGACTAAACACTGAGCAACAAAACAAATTCTAAGTCTCATTGACACTTACTGTCAGGTAGGATTTCTTGTCTCTCCCCATCAGCTGCTATTGTGCATTCTGTTTCTGATTTCTCTTTGTACGCTGTATCTTTAATACTTTTTGTTTCAACTTCAAAACCAACGATTCGGAACATATTCCTAGAATCAATCAGAAATATCTTACCCAAAGTGCATTGGAGAGGGAGGGGGGGGGGGCTGATGTGATTGACTGAAAAAAACATCACATTTAATAATCATGAGAAATTTAATAATCATGAGAAATTTAATATTCATGAGCAATGAAAAATATCATCTGCAAACTAGGTTTTTTCTTTGATGGGAGTAGATACAAAAATCATGAATAAATGAAAAACTTCTTTATATTTCACTCTGGAATTCAGACCACTGTAGCAAAAAACTACTAACATTTGGTTTATGACCTTTTGATCGGTCAGTGGAAGGATACAAATGTTAACAATCACAGTCGTGAAAGGGCTAACCTGAGTGAAAGGGCTAGAATGAAACTAGGTACATATAAAAATAGCACTTACTCAGTTTCTGCACTGTGATACTTGAATACAAGCTTCAGATGGTTGTTAATATACGCCTATGATAATAAAACAAGATATTAAAATACTTCTGAATATCAAATATTATTATATATCTGTCACCGTAACGCCATAGGTTACAGCGTGCCGTAATTTTGCGGTATTTTACGGGGTATTTTCATCCTACCATATAAGGGAATGCGCATTCCAAATATGGAACGATTACGCACGTAAGCGTCCTCTAATAATAAAAACAAACATGGCTGCCACCAGGGTTTGACTGGACTCCATACAAAGAAGTTAGCTGATTCTGTTCCAAACTTTTTAGATTTCGGCATTCCCATGATGTATCCTTGGTAGGAAAAAATGTATAATAATAAGGTTATTACGAAGATACCTCAAAGTATGCACTCAAACAGAACACTGCGTGTCGGTCGATACTGCCGCTGTACTGTCTTCGTGCATACTTTGAGGCATCTTCGTAATAAACTTATATTATACTTATAGTAGTTGGCCACCACTAAATAAAGCAACTAATCAGATTCTTCAGACTTTACGATATGGTTTTATTATATGCTGTTCTCAGAACTCAGATAAAATATATAGTCACTGAACTACTTCAAGACACAACACAAGTCAAACTTCTATGAAAATGGTGATTTTTGGGCATTGGTTTTTAATGTGAAAAATCTCAAAATTTTGTTCAGCCCACACAAAGTGAAAATAAATCATATGTTGTTATAAGATCAGTTCTTGCGGTTGTCACGAATAATGAGAATATTTGAATACTATTAATTTTTTGGGAAATAATAAGTTACCATGGAAAATTCTCCCTAAGTGTCCATTTTCAGATGTGATAAAAATTTATCATTGGTGTCATTATGGCCATGAGATATTCATTACAATTAAATACAGGTGTATCCAAAAAAGTAAAGATGGTATTACCTTATTATCTTGCACAAATCCCAGCCTATAACCATGTTCATACTGGTTTTCATGGGTGTCTAACATGACAAACTTGGTGGCAGCAGGTAAGTTGTCTGACAGTCTGGAATATAAATGTGCTTACTTGTTATGTATGTGTATGGTGGCACCATGCTGTGTTATATGGACAACAGATTGGGTTTGTGTCCAGATTTATCACCAGATCCATGTCAGCTGACCTGAATCCAGATTTATCACCTGATCCATGTCAGCTGACCTGAATCCAGATTTATCACCTGATCCATGTCAGCTGACCTATAACCAGATTTATTACCTGATCCATGTCAGCTGACCTAACTCCAGATTTATCACCTGATCCATGTCAGCTGACCTGAATCCAGATTTATCACCTGATCCATGTCAGCTGACCTATAACCAGATTTATCACCTGACCCTTGTCAGCTGACTTGTATCCAGATTTATCACCTGATCCATGTCAGCTGACCCATAACCAGATTTATCACCTGATCCATGTCAGCTGACCTGAATCCAGATTTATCACCTGATCCATGTCAGCTGACCTATAACCAGATTTATCACCTGATCCATGTCAGCTGACCTAACTCCAGATTTATCACCTGATCCATGTCAGCTGACCTGAATCCAGATTTATCACCTGATCCATGTCAGCTGACCTATAACCAGATTTATCACCTGACCCTTGTCAGCTGACCTATAACCAGATTTATAACCTGGTCCATGTCAGCTGACCCATAACCAGATTTATCACCCAGTCCATGTCAGCTGACATATAACCAGATTTATCACCTGATCCATGTCAGCTGACCTATAACCAGATTTATCACCTGATCCATGTCAGCTGACCTGAACCCAGATTTATCACCTGATCCATGTCAGCTGACCTATAACCAGATTTAAAACCTGGTCCATGTCAGCTGACCCATAACCAGATTTATCACCCAGTCCATGTCAGCTGACATATAACCAGATTTATCTCCTGATCCATGTCAGCTGACCTATAACCAGATTTATCACCTGATCCATGTCAGCTGACCTGAATCCAGATTTATCACCTGGTCCATGTCAGCTGACCTGAACCCAGATTTATCACCTGATCCATGTCAGCTGACCTATAACCAGATTTAAAACCTGGTCCATGTCAGCTGACCCATAACTAGATTTATCACCCAGTCCATGTCAGCTGACATATAACCAGATTTATCTCCTGATCCATGTCAGCTGACCTATAACCAGATTTATCACCTGATCCATGTCAGCTGACCTGAATCCAGATTTATCACCTGGTCCATGTCAGCTGACCTATAACCAGATTTATCACCTGGTCCATGTCAGCTGACCTATAACCAGATTTATCACCTGATCCATGTCAGCTGACCTATAACCAGATTTATCACCTGATCCATGTCAGCTGACCTGAATCCAGATTTATCACCTGGTCCATGTCAGCTGACCTATAACCAGATTTATCACCTGGTCCATGTCAGCTGACCTATAACCAGATTTATCACCTGGTCCATGTCAGCTGACCTATAACCAGATTTATCACCTGATCCATGTCAGCTGACCTATAACCAGATTTATCACCTGGTCCATGTCAGCTGACCTATAACCAGATTTATCACCTGATCCATGTCAGCTGACCTATAACCAGATTTATCACCTGACATGCATAGATTCATCATCTCATCAGCTGACCTATAAACATACATCAGCTGATATACATATCATTAAGTTGATCTCGTCACGGTGCCCATATAATAAACTTACAAGTGAATGTAATAGTTTTCTTTTATTCGATCCATCATTTTTTTAGACTCTTTACCATCCAAGTCCTGTTCACAAAGCACTGTGCATGATTTATCCCGATTCATTTCAACCTGTGTAAACAAATGAAAAAACAACAAATGACACTTTCGAATTCTATAAATTATTTATTTGAATTACAAATTATTATAGTAAGAAGTTTTCTTTCAAGGTCACTATATCAATGCATGTACAATTTTCAGTTGAATGCCAGGGAATAATAATAAAATGCACTATGTGTCAGCATTAGCATTTGCAATTTGCACTTACAAAAACGAAACAAGCAGCATTTTTTTGACAAGAAGTCGAAAATATCACTTTTTACCAAAAATGACAAAAATATTCATCAAAATTAGAGAATAGAAGATATCAACATGAAATGAACAAACCTAAGAGAGGTCTACCCAAGGTACATATACACCAAGTATCAAAGCATTCAGGCTTGTAGTTTTCAAGAAAAAGTCAAAAAAAGTAAAACATTGATACGGACGACGACGGACAATCATTCATATGATAAAGTCAGGAGAGACAACAGTGACATTCAATTCAATGTCCGACACTGTCGCCTGGCCCAAAAACGTTTAAAAAAAAAAAAAATCTCTGTCAGTGACACATTATATAATTGAGAAATAAACCAGGCCTACCTTGTAATTTGTGCTGACAATTCGATCTCCTCGAAGTACTTCACCAAGGTTTTCTGTTTTATACACAGGTTCATTCCCTGACATGCAGAATTTCAGCGAGTAGTATTCATATGGCAACTGAGTTTTTGTACTCGTCATCTTAACAGCTTTCACCTCAACTTCATCACCTTCCAAAAACTCTACTGGTGCTACTCCAGGAACATAAAAAGCATGGCTTTGGTAGATGATAGCCACAAGCACTAAAGATAATATCAGCTGAATCTGTGAAAAAAAAAATAATTATCGTGTATAATTATGATAATTATGATTTAAAAAAAAAAATTATGATTGTAAATATATGTTCGTTCATCAAACTCATCTTTATTTTACAAACATTCAAAAATACAATGAAAGCATTAATGTTTTCGTTATTTTTGCTGAAGGAATGATTCAGTGAAAATAGAATCCAGCAAATAAACATTTTTTTCCTATATTTTACATTCAACTGGTGAAAAATCAGTGAAAATAAATTCCATACAAAACACCCAAAATGCCTTTTCAGCGAAAATTTATTCCAGCTAAAAATAAGTATTCTACAGTAAATGACAATTCACAGGACCAGGAACTGCATTTGTAATTTTGTGTTGCATGTATAATGCAAAAATGAAAAAGAATGTACAATTTACTCTGTGCATCATTGTAAATGAATGGGACCTAGTCCTTTTTTTTAAAATGAGAGTCCCTTTCAAAATCTGGGGTTAGCACTAAATACTAATACATTACTAAATAAATTTGTTTAAAATATGCAATTTTTAAAATTGTCGACACATCAACCATCTCAAATGTTGAGAACATAGATAAGTTGTCGCAATGTCTTAGTTTAGTTTTTTGTTTGAATAATTAATATCAAAGAAATGAAGATTTTTGCTCGGGGTCAGTGTTCTCCCCAGACCAAAACAGCGCCGCGGGCCGCGACGCTATCGGATTTGCCAGCGACGCTATGTGTTTCCTCCAAGATGCTATTATTTATCCCGTGATTTGATTTCTTCAGTCTCTCACAGACTGTAAAGTTTCCTGGATCCAAGATGGCGTCACCCACGTAAGATCCAACGAGCATGAACTTCCCACTCGGATTGCATATCGCGCTCAGATCCGGTTGAATTAAGTGAAGCATAATGGAAAATAATATATTTATCAAGAAACCAGGAATTCTAATCAAGAAACATGTGGGAATTGGAGTGACACTTATGTTTCTTCTTGGAGGAAAAGCCTCAATTTTACGTGTTCTAACAATGGCGACGATTCGTAATTCAGACCTCCATTGTCTCGACTTGTTCACAATTGTATTGAATAGATAACATCGATGAATTAAAAAAAATGACATGTACTTTAAAAATACTAATTTTTGTGGATGTTTAATTTCACAATTTTGACATTTTGAGCAGTGGATTATAAACTTTTTTATGGAATTTATTTTCACTGATTTTTGATGAGTTTAACGTGAAATATAGGAAAAAAAGTATATTCGCTGTATTTTATTTTCACGGAATCATCCCTTCGGCGAAAATGGAGTATTCTACAGTACATGAACCAGTGGTATATATACGCAGTAGTTAACCTTCTATCAGAATACTCCTGCAGATATAAGATAGTATAAAACACACAGATTTGGTTTCACCTATTACACATGTAATACAAGTACTTTATTATTCACTGGTTTTAATATTTGCTATTTTCGTTGATACGCGCAAGTGAAATCTGCTAAGAATCAAATTCACATGAACATGTGAAATAACAATACAACTCATTATTTCCCTGGTTAATTCATGAACTTAAAACCCAGTAATACTGCTCAAAACATCAAAATAGTGAATGTAAATGCCAGTGAAAAGAAATGGTTTTATAGTAATCTATTGTAGCAGCAACCTCCAATAATGAAGAACACAGCTGACAGAGATAAAGCGTGTCATCACCTTATTATTCATTCCACTCCAGTCAGTCAGTGTGTTAGCATTACACAGGGTATTAATTTTACGATACACCAGGATGCAATATTCATAAAAGTTGATCATCCTAGAGAAAAAGTCTTCATAAATGCTCAATTAACGAGTCAATCCTGCCTTCTGTATAAAATTAATTTGTAAATCATTCATTTAGGGATTGGTCAGGACTGATAATCTGAGCTTATGCAACTTGCAACCCTCCTCCAGTTACCAATGATGACTTACGTTTGAATTATACAAAATATTAAATTCAGACGAAAAAGCTTGTTTAAAAAAAAAACACAAAAAGGTAAATTAAGCTTCAGGAAAATGTGTAAATATTCTATAAGTCTATGTTACCCCTTTTAAGCACAAAATCTGTTGTCAGCGGAAATTATATCCATATCCAATTCACAATTAAAATTAGAGAAAAATACATAAAAATGTCAAAAAGAAATCAAAAAAGCTGAAAAAGAACTATGTGTGCTCGAGGTATTGGAGGCATTAAGTACAAATAAGGAATACTGTATTTACTATATTAGAAGCACATATTACCATACACACGAAGCAAAAATTGTGTTAATTGCATGCAAAATCATTGAAATACATCTTATTTTGACCATAGACTTGGTCTTTGCCATTTATGTTTACAATGAGCACACATCCTTCTATTTGAGCAAATAAGAAGCTATGGTTTAACAATTACAAATATTTATAGAAATCATGAATATACAAGACTTGATATTTCAGTCATATATTTTGTCAGACAAGAAAATTATAGCACCAGTTGCATGTCCTTATGTGCAAGAGTACTTAATATATTACAGTTATGCTTATTATTGAGGTCACATGACCATATTTAGTCATGATACATTAGGTAAGTAGGTAATTAATATGCATGGGATTTCAATCCTGAAGTAATCAGATCTGTGGATTATTCAAAAGCACATATGTATCTCGTTTCATTAAAATTTGTACTCTGGAGCACCTATAAATTGATTAATTTATGCAAATTAGGTAATTAGTAAGCAAAAATTTAACCTTGAACTTAAAATTTATATGGGTTATCCAAGAACATACATATACCAAATAATGGCTGTATACTATGCAAATTAGCTCATTAATATGCAACAACAAAATAATCTGGTCTGCGCATTATTTCAGAGCATATATGGACTATGTTTCATTAAAATCTGTTGAATGATTCTCGAAAAAGTGAAAAGGCTTAAAACTGGCTAATTAATTTGCAAATTGGGTAATTAATATGTACAAATTTCAACCAAAAATTAATCAGGTCAGCTCATTATTCCAGAGCATCTATACACCAAGTTTCATTGAAATCTGTTAATGGTACACGAGAAGCAAGTGAAGATGTTTAAAATTGTCCAATATGCAAATTTTACTATTACCCATGTTTGATTACAGTATTGTAGGCCAAAACAAAAAGTTAACAAAAACAATGCAAATTGTGCTCACCATTTACGACAAGATTTTGGTGGGCAAAATTCTGCTGACTTGCAAAATTTTCTTCACCATTTACACCCCACCCCCCACCCCCCCAATTTTAAAATGCAGGCCAGGTAAAAAAATTTTTAGAGCAAGCAAATTGGACAGTCTGAGAAAACAAACCCTAAAACAAGGTAAGTTAGTGTTTGGTAAGCAACAAGTAAAACCCATTGAACATTTATTTATCATAAATCACCCTGCATATGTTTGTTGTAAAATTTGTTTAAAATTATACCAAAATAACATTTTTTTAGCCTGAAATTCACTTTTATTGGAGAACACTTCTAAGTACAGTACACATGCATGTATAGACTCACCTACCCCAGTGATGTAAATTTTAAAAAAAGGGAATGTTAATGTATGAACAAAACTGGATAGCTACTGTAAAAAATGTATACATTTTTTGTTTTGTTTCTTTAGTGGCAAAAAGCAAATAAAACTAGCCCGTGATTTATTCAAAGTAGGAGATCATGTTGAACAGCTACCGGTTGGTTTCCACATCAATAAACACAGGGGTTTGACAAATGCATTTAATAGCAGGCCATCATCCTATAACAGGCCAAAAGGCCGAAGCGCTACAGCGAGACCAGTGTAGAAAGTGGACAGCCAATATGGGCATGTAGCAGGCCATATGGCCAACGGCCGGCTCTTAACGAAATCTCTGTGTGTCATTACAAAAGCATACATGCAATAATGCCCATCTGATGAGCTAAGCTTTGTGTGCCAGTTATTACACTACAGACTTCTTTTCAGGGTAATAAACTTATTATTATGCAAAATTCTAACTCTACCAGCTGACACACACTGCTGTTGGAAAAACCCCATTCATGTCAAATGTTACCACCAATGTGTGTCTCCAATTTTGGACACACTATTGAGAATGGCAGTAGGAATGGGATGTATTTGTAACCGTCAGCAGTCTGATCTGATTATAATACAAATGTACAAATCTCTTGCAAAGACCCGTATACAATTGGTACACATATACCGTAAAAACTCCAAAATTTCGACCGGTTTTAAATAACTGGTGTTGGAAATGTGACGTGTTTTTAGAGTCAAAATTGAGGTGCATTTTTGGACGGTCGAATTTTTCGGAATAGAAATCAGCAAATGAAAAAAATGGGGATGATAGACAGTGTGCTTCGTTAGTTTTTAAAAAATGCAATGTCCGTCAATTGACGTAAACTTCCCCATGTTTCACGGTAAAAGCAAAGGTCGTGGCCGAGTTGTAGGCTAAACAACTCAAAATTAAAACAAAGTCATCAATCAGTGAGTGTTATGACAAGGAAAACAAAACATCAAGACATGGAGAAGAGGTCAGCACAAAACTAATAGGTCAAAAGACAAAACTGGGGCTAATCTGCACTGGCT